CGCTATGCCGGATATGCAGTGACAACTACAGACAAGGTGATAGAAGCGCGGCCATTGTCAAAAGGAACATCAGCACAGAAGGCAGAATTAATCGCACTTACACGGGCTTTGCAATTGGCTGAAGGGTTGAAAGTAAATATCTACACAGACTCAAAGTACGCATTTTTAACCACTCATGCCCATGGAGCTTTGTATAAAGAAAGAGGATTACTGACCTCAGAAGGAAAAGAAATCAAGTACGCAGCTGAGATATTACAACTATTGGAAGCTGTATGGGAGCCGAAGGAAGTTGGTATCATACATTGTCGAGCACATCTGAAAGGTGATGGTGATGTGGTGAAAGGAAATCGGATGGCAGATAGTGCAGCTAAGCGTGCCGCTGAATCCGGACAAAAAGAATATGTGGAGTGTGTAGCAGCTCTTATACCGACCCCTCTGTCCCAGTGGACTCCAGTTTATACAGCTCAAGAAGTAGAGTGGTTAAAGACTGAAGCTGGGAAATATTTGGAGAATAATTGGTATCAGTTAGAAGATGGAAGAATAGTTATTCCAGCATCGCTAGCTGTAGAAATTGTCCAGAATTATCATAATGGGACACATTCTGGAAGAGATAGTATGGAAGAATCTCTTAGGAAGCATTTCTACATACCAAGATTGTCCAACTTGACTCAAGCCATTGTTCGAAGATGCGTGTCATGTGCCAAGAACAACGCAAGGCAAGGTCCAGTGAAACCACCGGGAGTCCAGTACATGGGAGGGCTTCCTATGTCCGATCTCCAAATAGACTACACGGTAATGCCCAAATCCGGCGGACATCGTTACCTACTAGTAGCTGTGTGTAACTACTCAGGATAGATAGAGGCGTGTCCAACTCGTACAGAGAAAGCAGGAGAAGTTGTGCGATTTCTGTTGCGAGAAATAATACCCCGATATGGACTACCGTGTTCTATAGGATCAGATAATGGTCCAGCTTTTGTCCATCAGTGCCTACAACAACTGACTCATATGTTTGGTATTAAGTGGAAACTTCATACAGCATATAGGCCTCAGAGTTCTGGGAAAGTGGAAAGGATGAACAGAACCATTAAGACCCAGTTGTCAAAAATGTGTCAAGAAACCCAACTCAAGTGGAATGTTCTTTTGCCAATAGCTCTGTTGCGCATTCGTAGTACACCTACCAGAAAGTTAGGTCTATCACCCTTTGAAATTATGTATGGACGTCCACCTCCCATACTTAGTAACTTAAGGGGGGACTTGAGTCAGTTGGGAGAAGGAATTACCCAGCGGCAGGTTGTAGAGTTGGGTAAAACTATGGAGGAGGTACAGAAATGGGTACAGGATAGGTTACCTGTAAATATTTATCCACCTGTCCATTCTTACCATCCAGGAGACCAAGTTTGGATAAAGGAGTGGAACAGTGTACCGTTGGGGCCAAAGTGGAGGGGTCCTTATTCTGTTCTTTTGTCTACTCCAACAGCTATAAAGGTGGCAGAGGTGACTCCGTGGATTCATCACTCCAGGGTTAAACCAGCAGCAGATTCTTGGCAAGCTACTCAAGATCCTGAGAATCCCTGCAAGATCCGGTTGAAGCGAGTGACCCAGTTAGATTAAAAGTGTTTTTTGCGAAGAAAATTGTTACAAGGGAACATCAACAAAGATCTACAAGTAGGTGTTTTGACGGCCACAATAAAGCCTGACCACCTACCAACATTTAAGCCAGAGGAATCCTCTGTGAAGAACAGTGAGGATCAGAAGGACTCCATTCCCTGCAGCCCTCACACGCCTGGAAGCTGAGGTGCCGTCGCACGGTCGAAGAATTAGGAAGAAGATGTCAGGAGTAATGTGTTTGATGATGTATATATGTGTGTTTTTAATTATTCAGGAAGGTAGAGGTACCGACACACCAGGCTGCGAGGTTTGCATTAAGACTACGAAAACAGGCAATCGTATTTCCCAGACCCTTATTTGGCATTCGCAATATGAGTGCACAGGACATGTATCAAAGTGTAGATACCTAGGTACAGATTATAGTGTATGCCATATAGGAGCAGGAGAACCTAGGTGTTTTAATCCTGAGTATCAGCCCTGTACAATTTGGTTGACTATTTGGAATGAGAACGCACAAGGGAACCTGATAAATAAGACTGTACTAGAAAGCGTACATTCTCCAGGTGTTTTGCTATTTGATGCATGTAAGGCGATATCAGGTAGTAGGAAGCCATGGAATGTATGTGGTGGTCTTAAATGGGAAAGAACGTATGGGTCTAATGATAAGTATATTTGTCCTAGTAATAAGCATAAGTATATAGATCCAAACTGCCTAAATAAAGACTACAATTATTGTCCATATTGGTCCTGTGTGGGATGGGCAACCTGGGGACAGACAGTAGATAAGGATATGATTATCACTAGATTGCCTACCAAGCCATATTGTAAGTCTATGGAGTGTAACCCAGTCCATATACTTATCAAGGACCCAGAGCTATTTATAGATAAGTTTGGGAATCTATTTGGGTTCCAAATATATGGAACAGGTTTGGATCCTGGGACGATATTATACATAGGAATAGAGACAGATACAGTGGCCCCCCAGACTCATCAGGTTTTCCATTCTTTTTATGAGGAGATGAGTGTGGAAGATAAGGTTCCCCATAATGCCAAAAACTTATTCATAGACCTAGCTGAGAGCATTGCTGGTAGTCTTAATGTAACCAACTGCTATGTGTGTGGAGGTACTAATATGGGAGACCAATGGCCTTGGGAAGCAAAGGAGGTAATGTATTCTGGTTCTGAGACAGTTGAACAACTAATATCTTCTCAATTTGATTATCAAGTGAGTGTTAGAGGTAAATCTGAGTGGCGATTAAAGACGTCCATTATAGGTTATGTTTGTATAGCAAGGAAAGGAATAATGTTTAATACATCTGTAGGAGAATTGACTTGTTTAGGGCAGAAAGCCTATAATGACGATACAAAGGATACTATTTGGTGGTCAGCTTCAAATGTCTCAGAACCGTCTAATCCGTTTGCAAATTATACCAATTTAAAGGATGTATGGTTTGACCTATCTGCTACATCTAGTTGGAAAGCCCCAGCAAATTTGTACTGGATTTGTGGTAAGAAAGCATATTCGGAGTTACCACAGGACTGGGAAGGGGCATGTGTATTGGGTATGCTCAAACCATCCTTCTTCTTGTTGCCAATTGAAACAGGAGAGACTTTGGGAGTTAAAGTATATGATGTAAATCATAGGAAGAAAAGGGCACCCCTAGAGATAGGTACCTGGGAAGATGATGAGTGGCCTCCCCAGCATATTATAGATTATTATGGGCCAGCTACGTGGGCAGAGGATGGTACTTATGGATACAGAACCCCAATATATATGCTTAATCATATTATAAGATTGCAAGGAGTGGTTGAGATAGTTACCAATGAAACATCACAAGCGCTCAATCTCCTAGCGAAGCATAACACTAGGATGAGGACAGCCATCTACCAGAATAGATTATTTTTGGATTACCTATTGGCAGTAGAGGGAGGTGTATGTGGGAAGTTTAATCTAAGCAATTGTTGTCTTCAAATAGATGATGAAGGGCAAGCAATAGCTGAGCTTACTAGCCAAGGGTATAATCCGAGTAGTTGGTTTGGTAGTTGGTATGAGCAGTTTGGAGGAATCAAGGCATTGGTAGGTGGAGTAATACTGATTTTGATGTTGTGTCTCCTTCTGCCATGTCTGATTCCTTTGCTAATTAGGTCTATGCAGAGCATTATAGAAAGTATAGCAGAAAGAAAGGCCGCAGTACAGGTAATGGCTGTTTGCAGGTATGAAGCTCTAGATCAAGGAGAATACATGCAGGAAGAGGAATGTTGAGGGGTTCGTATCTTTAGAGGATCGCAAAGTCTAGTCTGGTTTATGGCAACTTGAGGTGTAAGCAAACTATGATTGGTGATGTATCTGGAATTATTTTAAATCAGAAGCATCAAAGGGGGGAATGTGATGGAATTCCAGTAAAATACAAGTTTAGCAGGCCAAGATTGCCACAAGGCATATGTAGGTACATGTGTTTGTAGTATCAGTTAGTTAGTTACACGTAGCTAAGATACTGTCATCACTGTACTGAGCATGTGCAGGAATGCAGGAACTGGAATTACGCGTTCCTCTCCTTTGTTTCAGATGAGCCACGTGGTTAGACCGGATGGATGAGTTTAGACTCCATTCATTGATTAGGTTAAGGGTATGTGTGAGCGTAGCTAATTATGGGAGAAGCTACAGTGCTATATAAGGAATGTACTCTATGTATTCAGTACTCAGATCTTTGCTGTTTTTGGTGACATAAGTCCCTCTGAGTCCCGGTCGGTGAATCGAATAAAGATCTCTTCCTTCCTGAAGAAACCTGTGTCCATCTCTCTGTGCATGGCCTCCGTCAGTTTCCCGGTAACAGTAGTAAGTGCAGTAGAAGCAGTCAGTACTGTAGAAGCAGTCAGTACTTTATATGCAGTCAGTACTTTACAAGCAGTAAGTGCATTAGAAGCAGTCAGTGTTCTGGAAGAGGTAAGGTGAGTCCAAGCAGTCACTTGTTTATGAAATTCAGCAAAGTGGAAGCAGCCCCTTGAGCAAATGTAGTCAGGCACAGGAGCCAGCTGTGCCACAAGCACCCGCCATGCTGACGATGGATGTTAAGCTGAAGGTGCCAGTCATGCAGAAATCACCAATTAAGCCAAAGGTGTCAGCCATACATTATGGATCAGTCATGCAGAAATCACCAACCATTCTGAAAGTTCCTGTTGTGCAGTAGGTGTCAGCCATGCACAAAAGATTAGCCATGCGTAAGGATCTAGATATGCTGAAGTCATTAGTCATACAGAAGGAGTTAACCATGTCAAAGGCATCGATCATGCAGAAAATGTGGAAAGGATTTATTATGGAAATATCACCAGTCATGTAAAAGCAAAATGTACCTATCTTGCCAAAGACGTCAATCATTCAGAAAGCGAAAATCATGCAGAAGTCTCCCGTCATACAGAAGGAGCCTGACATGACAAAAGGATCATTCATTGAGAAATCAATCGTCATGCCAAAGGCTTCAGTCATCTCACGGATTCCAGTATTGCAAAAGGTGCCAATTAAACCAAGAACACCAATCCTGCGGAAAGTGACAGTCATGCAGAAGGCCTCAGTCTTGCCAAAGGCATCTGTCATACAGGAAGGGCCAGTCATGTCAAAGACACGAAGCATGGAAAAGGCACAAGTTACCTCAAAGATACCAGTTATGCAAAAGATGCCTATCAGGTCAAAAACACCAGTCATGGAAAAGGGGCCAGTCAAGCAGGAAGGGACAGCCATGCAAAATATGACAGGCATCTCAAAGATACTAATCATGCAAAAGTTGCCAATCAAGCCAACACCACAAATCAAACAGAAGCTGTCAGTCATGGAGAAATCATGAGTAATGGCAAATGAGACATCCATACAGAAAGCCTCAGCCTTGCCAAAGACATCAGTTATGGTCATGCAAAAACAATCAGTCATGGAGAAATTACCAGTTATGCCAAAGTCACCATTCATGAAGAAAACAGACATGCAGAAGGCGGCAGTCATGTTAAAGAGTCCAGTCATGCCAAAGACTCCAGTCATGCAGAAGGCACCTGTCATAAGGAAGGTGTCATTCATGCAGGAGAAGTCAGTTGTACCAGGCATGTGGAAGACCCCAGCCATGTATAACCATAAGTCAGAAAAACATCAGTCACCAGCAGTGCAGAAATAGTAATTCAGAACTTGTCAAACAAAAAATGCCAGCCACGCCAAAAGTCATTATGAAAACACCAGAAAATGAAAAATTGTCAGCCACAAAGAAGTCATCAGTAGTTCATAAACTATCAGCCATGCAGAAGCAGTCAACTGGGCAGAAGCAGTTTCTCAAACAGATACCATCAGTCATACAGAAACCACCAATCATACAGAGGTAGCCATTCCTTGAAAAGCCACCAGTAATGCGAGAACAGTCATGCGTACCAAAGTTGCTAAATCTCAAGGAAAGAATTAGTGTCAGACACCCAAAGCAATGTACAACACCATCAATGGTAACAGGTTGGTAAATTCAGTACATTTAAAAGTTTGTAGTATTTCTATATATTGTGATAAGGAAGAAAATGCTAAGAACAAACCAATTCACAAAACAAAATAATTAAAGTCCAATACAGATTTTCAACAGACACACACACAGAGCTGGCATAGAAAGGGGCCTTGGTGAATGACTGTGGAAAGGATAGTAAGGACATGAGGGACATGAGAAGGGTGGTTGGAAACACACATAAGGCTTTCTTTACATACCATTATTTCTATCATGTCATATAATTTAATTTAAAAATAATAATCAAATATGGTGAAAAATCTAAAAAAAAAACATGACTTTTTCTTGAAAAATCTTTTACTCATCTACAAAAGCTAATGAAAAAAACTGCTAAATAGAGTAAAAATGTTGTCCTGGGTTTAAAAACACCTAGTGTTTACATGCTTTTTTGCTTTTTTTTTTTGCAAGTTATAGAGCTATAAGTACAAGTAGGATATTGCTGTTTCAAAACATAAATTTTTAAGATTTATCAATAGTGACATTGTAACACTGTTATCTGTCATAAATCTCTGAAAAACACCCCACATATACATTTTTTTTAAGTAAACAACCCAGGGTATTCATCGAAGGATATTTTTTCACTTTTTATG